TCAAAAATATGTCTTTGTTTTACTTTGGTTGCAAATATCAAAAAATTTCTATATGTGACACGGCACCAGAGTTAAGTTAGGGTTTTTCAAAATGCTGACACACCGAGCTCAAAAGGTTCGCCATAATGTTCATTCCCAAGTTAGTTAAGTTGCACTTTTTATTGTAATTATGGAATTTAATAAAACATTCTATAAATGGATTTTAAAAAATTAAGCAAGCTAGCAAAAAGTGCTTGAGAGTCAGTTTGAAGAGGGTTCCATTGTCCAAAAATTAAAACATTAATAACAATAAGTGCTATTGAGTGAAACACATGAACTATGATTATAAAACATTAAAAATTAATTACAAGAGGATGAGGGCGTGAGTTGGGACGGGGGGGGAATGTGAGGATAAGGACACATATGTAATAACTTAATCAATAAAGACATTTAAAAAAAAGTACCTGAAATTTAAATCCAGAGTGCCCTACCCAGGGCATGGGGAGTCTGATCACTGCCCCCCCCTCCCCCCCGCCCATTTCCCTCTGCACTGGCTTTGGGACTGGCAAAACAACCTAACCTGCCCATCACCTGATGCCATCTGGTCCTCCTTAGACCTGTTCCAAGGCAAGAACCCCCATGGCAGGATACCAGGGAGATGGAGAGTTCTACAAAGGGTTATTGCATTACCAAATGATGGGACTTCTGTAAATGAAGAAGGTTAATAGTGTAGGTTAAAATTAACTTGTCCATTGTATTGTGCATAGCATCCCATATTGGAAGGAAGCTAGAGAACACATTTTTCAATACAAAAAACCCTTTATTTCATAAAAAAAGGCACAAAATGAGTGAAATTCCCACATGCATCTTTGTTCTTTCAGAGTCTTTTTGTTAAATTGTCAAAACTCGTAGCAGATGAAGCAGAACCTATGATCAGATGTCTTAATTAAGATACAGAGAGGGCAAATACACATCTGAGAAAAGGCTCACCATAAATCCTTAGAAAAATATAATCAAACAACAGGGATTGCATGACAAAGTTATAAAAAAAAGTTTACATAAAGAACCATTGACTATGAGATTTGGGGAATGGCCCCTCACAGTCTTGGATTGCAATAAATGTGACTCTTTAATTCGAAAAAAAAAAAAAAAGAACCATTGACCAACTCAAATATTCTCTAGAATGTGGAGGAACTGAATCCTCATAAACTGCTGGAAAGATGCAAAAATATACCATCAGTTTAGATCACAATTTAATCTGTGTAACTTAAACATTCACTGATGACTCAGACTATGCACTGAGCTATTTACAAAGGTAAATGAAACTTATCTATCGCTATATATAAAAGACGCATATGCAAAGTGTCCCCTCAGAAGTTCGACCACTCACTATGACATGCGCTGACCACCAGGGGGCGGTACGGAACAAAGGAAGGCCCCAATCGGCCCTGATCGCTGGCCAGGGCTAGGGACCCTACCTCTTTTTGGGGGCACGAAATTCGGCATTTTTAAGCGTAACAATATCGATGATGTTAACACCTTCAGAAAATTTGACATGAAGTTTTTTTTTTTTTTAATATTTTATTGATTTTTTTACAGAGAGGAAGGGAGAGGGATAGAGAGTTAGAAACATGCCCTTGAACGGAATCTAACCTGGGCCACCACTCTATCCACTG